TCTCCATAGCGTTTTCTGTGTTTGTTGTTTCACTTGCTGTGCTTGCAGGGATATTTGTATCCGTTGCAGTTGTTGTTTCTCCTGTTGTGCTTGTTGCACTGGCTGCTGTATTTGTTGAATTTGTGGTTTCTTGTGTTGAATTTGTTGCAGTATTTGATTGTGTTGTTGTGTTTACTGCATCGTTTCTCGTCGTATTCGCGTGAATATCCTTAAACAGCCGGATGAGGACCCCCAGCTTCTCAGCAGAGTCGGGGTGACGCCGCAGGAGAGCGGCGATGCGTTGCAGCGCGAGAGAAGCAGAGATATCTTTGTTTATAAAACGAGAAATAAGATGATCAATTTCAATCCGAAGAGACAAAGACTGAGTCGATACTCCGTGCAAAAACAAATCGCATAAATGCAACAGGCCAACGCGGCGGTCGCAGCAAGCGGCAGCTGAAACAAAAAAAAAAAGAAAGGAAAGCAAAACAAACAAACAACCAGATACAAACACAGCAGAAACAACGCGTTAAATACCACTCAACACGTTCAAAGAAAACCAAAAACAACCAAACCAAGCAAACACACACACACACACACACATCACGCACGAAGCTGCACGAATCGTCTATTGAGCAGAAACCGATGAAGGAGNACACACACACACACACACATCACGCACGAAGCTGCACGAATCGTCTATTGAGCAGAAACCGATGAAGGAGCAGATTGAGTGGCAAAAAGCATCCCTTCTTCTGCTGCTGTTTGTTGTATAATTCTCGCTTTATTGTCTATTTGTTTATTTGTTGTTGCACGGGGGCATGTGCGTATGTGTGTAGAGTATGTATGCGTGCGGGTTTGAATGTGTAAGGTTTCTTACGGTTTCTTGCTGCGAGGAGTTTGACTAAGCGCTCGATTTCTTTGCTGGTTTGTTGGTCACGTTTGGATACGGTTAAGATGAGCTGCTTGATGTCTCCAGCAACGTGAAACCAAGAAGGAAAGGAGGCGAAGATGCGGTCGACTTCGTCGCTGAAAGAAGAAAACGCCAGTCGCCGCGACAGCAGCATCCGCACCAAATGTAAAACATTCGATGCCAGAACTCGAGCCCGCTCTGCACAGCCCCCAGATAGACCGACTTGATACGCCAAACGAAACACAGAGTGAACCTGCACACAGAAAGGGAAACACCCAAGCTAAACACCAAACCCTAAACCCTGGACGAGCGATCCGGATAGCAGCGAGGAGGTGTAAATATATATAGATATATATAAGCTGTTTAGCGAGACTAGAGGCAGCGGTAAGCAGAAAGAAAAACCCTCACCTGGACGGGCTCGTCGTCGAAGGGCTTGGCCAACTCCAGCGCCTGGTTTTTGCGGATGACTCCGCCGTTTTTCTCAATGCAGAACTGCTGAACGAGAAGTTTACGAATTGCACGGATAACAAGAGGATGGCCCCTGAATAGAAGCTGCATGCGGTGAAGCAGAATATCTCGGCTGCCACGCTGCGTCTTCTGCGCCATACAACTTTTCAAAATGCTGTTGAATATAGCGTACTTATCGGGCGCCATATTCTGAATCAGAATACACATCGCTGCTGCTGGGTTCCCCGCGTGAATCAAAGTTCTGTCGGGGAGAAACAACGACATGCAAAGCGAAACATCCGGCGCGTCGGGGAAGGAGTTTCCTATGAGGAAGGCCAACTCTTCAACCCGCAGACGCTGCCGCTTCACGTGCTCCAACACACGCCTCAAAGAAACCAAACTCTGCGGGCCCCCAGAGAAACGTTTCGTCAAATAAGCTTCAAGTTCGCTCCACATCAAGTGAAAATCATCACTTGTCGCAGGCTCAGAAGGGGCTGTCTGCGGAGGCGCTTGAGCCGCCTCTGCCTTCACACGGGGTGCAGCTGCACCACCGGTCGATGACTGCGTAGACGGTGGAGAAGCCGCATCAGGAGAAGCACCAACCGAATGCAATGCATCGTTTGCTGCTGATTGCCTCGCCACCGGAGGAGGACCCATTCTTACCAACTGTTCAGCTTCCCCGGTTAGGAACAGCAAGCATCACACAGGAAGTTTTGGTTCTCTATAAACGATAAGCTAGTGCGCCCTGGAGTCAACAAAGACAAGCTACTACCTCATGGTGCACTTACAATGCAACGCTGCTGCGATTTACCCCCAGACAGCTGTTGGCATGATACCGACTGGGGGCCGGCGACAGCTGATGAGCGATGCAGGCTCGAGGCAACGGAATCCACGCTACTAGCTGTGCTCCCTGCAGCCCCTTCGTTTGCTACGAAGATTACCGCATGATGGAATCCTGCTAAAGTCTAGACGCTGTCACTTTAACCGTGTTGGTGATGTCCTTCCAGATCCTCGAGCATGCCCGGGGGAATGCGGTGGCGTCGGAAAAAGTCACAGAAAACCTAAATTCAGCGTGCATAGGAGAAGCAGACTGGCTTACGAAAGTGAAATGTAACGCTAGACACAGAACACTGGAGAATCCTTCCCCTTGAAGGTTTCACTGTTCGCCGAGCCCCACCCGGAGCGGTGGGGGTGGTGGCGAGCCACAGCCAACGACGGAGCCCTAGCTCTTATAGGTGAACTAGAGAGTGGATATGGGTACGCTTATTTGAATATGCTTAGATAGACAGTTAAGAAAAAGACGTTGGTGTTTAGAGAGGCTAGAGAGGTGGGAGCCACCGCTGAGTCACATTAACCGGGGAGGGTCTTGGTTGAGGCAGCTGCCTCGAAATTATCTGTGAATGTGCCAGTTCAGCGCACAGTTTTCAAAGTGTCAAGAACCAATTCCTCTATGTCGCAAGCCGGTAGAACTTGGAAACAACCAGCTAGCTTTTCAGCCTGCCCTCCTCGACCGACTGAGTGGTGTGCCGACAGGGGAGTCATGCTTGTGTCAAGTGGAAGTTGCTCGCTCTGAACATATTCGTGGTCTTTTCATTATGAATTTAAAATGTAGCTTTTTTGAAGAGGCATCCGTTTTGGGGAGTTGGTTTAGTCTCGGGGGCGGCTAATTCTGTGGAACATCAAATAACCGCTGCGAGGACGTTACACTTGCTTCCTCCGCTACGTATTCGTTTTGTCTCGTGTCATTTGGTCTATGAAAAAATAATTCCACGTGTTAAACTATATGATATGAATCATTGTGACTGTCGAGTGCTTTCGCTTGTAATTTGCTGGAAGGATTGATACAGTGACGGCATTTCCAACTTGAAAGTTCTCCGAGTGATAGATCCTTTGAGAAACCAATATTGCATGTGCCAGATCTTCACGAAACCAACGTGCATAAGTCATATACAGTCAAGCAAAACTTATCAGTACTAACGAAAAGTGACGGTGGGCCGCACGTTCGCTGGCACTACACTGGCGAGACAGCTGCGTGAAACGACGCTGAGTTCAGGTGTATATACGGTCAACCTTGATCACCAGCGAAGCAGATGAGTTAGTGTTGTCGCAATTTCTCGTATTTGGGAAAACATTTAAGCCATCTGCCTGTGGTATTTCTATCTATTCCAAGTAACCATGAGGCACTTCATCCCCATCGTCTGCTTCTCCCTGCTGGGCGCCAATGCTGAGCCATTGCCCGCCAACAGCCCAGTTTGCGACGTTGCCGTCGAGACTGCGCTGTGCCTGCACAATGCGGAGAAGATATTGATGCCTGATGCTCGTCCATATGGTAAGCTGGCTTTTGCTACACGGCGTAACTTCCTATCCTATTCGCGTTCTTCTAAGGCATGGAGGTTCATCTGACCTTCGATGAATCTCGCCCTCTCGACACAAGTGGCAAGAAGAACCACGGATCCGGAGAAGTCATGGCAGCAGCTGGAATCGGTGGTGTTGGGAGCTCTGGCTTGTTCCGCAACAATTACGTATATGTACCGAGCTCCGAGAGCTTCAAGTCTGCTGACTTCTCATACACGTTCTTTGTGTACCTCCTTGAGGATGCAAAGTCGAGGTTAGTGAGAATACAGAATCTCCCAACGTGGAAACGTGCAAATTACAATTGCTTGACAGGTCAATAAATGAGTTACACGACCAGTTCTGCCCCGTAATGCACAAGGGCACCATGCGCGAAGATGTTCAAGAAGCGTCGCCAGCACTCCTTGTGAACCCTCGTGTAAGGAATATCCTATTATGCGCGAGTCATAGAGCCTCCAAAATACGCGTTTTATAGGATGGACGCATCAAAGTTGTTCTCGGCACCACTGGCAGTGCAGCACGTAGGGCTTTAACACAGAGAACGTCCCTCCAAGGGTGAAACTCATGATACGAATGTTCAGCTGGCAATGAGATGCAAAGCAACTCAAGACTTCGCCCCCATCAGTGGTATCACCTTGGTGGTAAGTAGACTGAATTCACTACTGCGTGTGGAAAGTAGCAATTGTATCCGGCCTTGCAGTTGTCCGTCACCAAAACCGCATGAGGCTCTACGTCGATGGAATCCTTGATTCTTCTCTCGTCACTGAAGGATCAACAAAGACCAACGACCTGCCTCTTTTCGTTGGAGGTGCCCCTTATGCAGAGAATGTTTGTGACATGCCAATGCTTCTCGACGAGTTCCGCATGTTCTCATACGTAAGTTGTGTCTTCACTCCGCGACATTATTCAGTGAAATAAAATGTAATTCTCAGGCACTTGGTCGTGATCACATCCAAGCTGAGGCCTCAATAGCCCTAGGTGGTGTTGAACCCTCATTCCTTCACATTGGCTGCACCAACTGCAAGTGCGTTCAATTACAGCTTGCTTCATAGAATGTTCCGGTTTTTTATTCTCCCATCAGCAAAGACGAAGCCGCCGAGTCGTGTGCCGATGGCTATCATCTGTGCAGTAAGCTGACTTTGTCAACTGTGTCATGATGTATCTTTTCTACTTTTTGTTCCACCAGACAAGCTAGAGCTCTACAACGGTGGATTCCATGTTGCTCGCAAGCTTTCTCTCGGCACCGCGCTCGTCGCCGCCGGATCGGCGACCCCAGTGAGGGGCGCTGGCCTGTGCTGCACAGACGCATGAGCCAAAACTACTCTATTTTGAGTCTTCTGACTTCAATGTTTTTTTTGGGTGAACCATCGCGAACGTCGTGTTTGTATAATCATGAACCCATGCAAAAAAAAGGGTCAACAATTAGGCAGTCAAACATTTCATTCCAGTTCTGATATTAGACTGAAATCGTGTTCAGGCTGAATTAGTTCGTGCCTTGTACCCGCCTGTAGTTTCGGGTCACCTTCGTCACAGCCCATGCAGGGTCACCACAGAAACCGGTGACGTCGAGCTTTATAACTCAGCTAACAGTGCTCCATATACAACGATTTATCAATTAAAGGCAGATCTGGAACCTAGCTGAGTAGGTTGAAACTAAGGATTTCGATCCGACTGTCCAGCACACGGCAGCACGCCGCCGAGGTGACTCGGGTATTCAACTGCATTCGCCTGAACAGAGGGGCCTCCAGAATTGTCTTGTGGCATTTTTAGGATTAAAGCTTCTTTAGGGAATTACTAATTTTACCTGTCTCTGTGTTCAATTGAACCAGATGCGAGCGCCTCTCCGTCCTGTTGGTCCTGTTGGGGCTTGTTTAGGTCCATCCTTTCTGCGTGTGATTCATGAAATACCAACCACTCACCTGGAGAATTTCGGACTCTTATTAGTGATCACATGAGCTATGCGATTTCAGATATCGGGAGGCTAGCTATGGCACTCACAGGAGGACGAAATGCGTCCTGGTCTGCGTAGGAACCATGGCGCTCCACACACCTGTATCTGCGGCAGCATGTGGGGTTAAGCCAGTAGGCATGCTACAAACCTCGGAACATGGGGAAATGTTATGCAGTCCTGATGAGGACTGTCTAGACGTGCCGTCCGAAGGGAGAATGCGTGACTTTTTCTCATTCCTCGACCAAACGGCGTCAGATTCCCACTACTATGCTGGCCAGAGACCGAAAAAACCCAACTCTCCTGGTAATGCTACTAGTACTGCAGGTCTTTTGTCCAAAATTTCAGCATTGGAGGTCGAGCTTGAGGACAAGGAGCACAATCTTAAAACCTTACGGGAGCTTCGCGAACGGGAGAAACTTCAAGAAGAGCGATTGAGGAAACAGCTACAGTACCAGATGCAAGGAGAATTGAACAGAACAACTGTGAGACAGACTGGAGCCGCCATTCACATTTCGGCATTTTTGCTCAAAGGCAGGACGGATTATAGTCAGCATTCAACTACGATCGCGTTGCAGCGCAACTTGATGCTACAGCATTCACGAATTTTCTGGCCATATTCTACGATGAATTGTCACATTGTTCTGATACTGCATATTTCATAAGGCAAACAGCGGCCCTCCGCTTGGCGGTATCTGCAGGAAAAATACGAACAACAATGCAGGAAGCAACAGGAGCTGCTGAGCCAACTGCAGGATGAAAAGAAAGACATGGCCTCGCGCTATGAAAGGCTTGCAGAGGAAATGCGTGATTTGGAACGAAGATTTGCTGCGAAAACTGCTGAATTGCACAAGCAGTACGGCAGGGAACTGGAACGCCAACGGCGAGCCTTGCTTTCCGGCGAAAAGGTGAATTTCATGGAAACGAACCTGCCGCATATTTCATTTCTTGGCAACTGTGAAGCGCACTAGAAAAGGAGTCGGCTGGATCTGACATTCTTTGCCTCTAAGGATGAAAATGCTCCCATGTTTTTCAGGCCCGTCGCGAAGCATGGACACGTGAACGGGCGCAGGAGATCAAAGAAATTACAATAAAAGGTTTGGAACCCGAAATCCAGAGGTTGCTAAATAAACATCGCGCTGAAAAACGATGTCTAGAAGAAAAGTTGCGGAGGATACCAGAGGATGTAGGCCGCCTACTAAGAACATTTTCGGTGTTTCTGTTCAATTGGCATTGTTGCGAGTGACATACGGTTCGCTGCAAGTCTTTCCATTTATTTAAACAGTTCTGCAGCGGTGTTTCGCTCCTCAAACTTTTCAGATGAAAAAACAACTAGAGGAAGAACTCGTGGCGCAGAGGACTGCTGTGCAGAGGCAGATGGAGGAGGCGTTCGAAGTCGAGAGGAGTCAACACAGACAAGAAATACGAGCTCTTAAGGAAAGCTTTGAAACCGAAGTAAGCAAGGGAACAACAATAATAACGTTACAATCATAATCAAGAAGCAATAGAAACAATAACAATGGGGATGAGTAAACAACTGGAACTAAACTAATGGAATAGAGACGGAAAACGATCGACAGTTATTCCCTCTTTTGTATTTGTTGAATTCGTGTTGGTGCTGTTTCATCCGCTTTGTCTGTTTTCTCTGTTTATTGATTCATTTCAGCTCGAGAAAGAACGAGATGCCTTGGCAGCAAAACACAAACAACAAACCGCCAAATGGGAGGCGCAAGCATCCGACGGGAAGAAGCGGCTGCAAGGCGAAATCGCGTAAACAGCAGAAATGTTGGAGTCATTAGTATTTTGCTTTCTGTCTGATTTCTTCGCGTTGTGCAATTTTCTCAGCAGAACTTGATCGCTCGACGTCCTTTCCTTCTTTTCCTTCGTTCTGCCCTGTAGTGCAAGCGGTTGCATCGTCGACTTTAAATATATTGATGTTTTCTTATTTGCTTAGGAAGGCACGAGAGGAAGAGCAGCAGCGGTTGAAGGAGGTTACGGCTCAGCTTCTGTCGCAGCTGGAACAGCAGCGAAACAAACATCTACAAGAAATGCAGCAGACAGAAGCCGCTGCAAAGGCCAAAGAGAATGAACTAACAATCCAAATGAACAAAGAAAAAGAAACGGCAATACGGGAGGCAACTGAAAGAATAAAAGAAGAAATGCAGGCAGAGACGCACAAGTAAAGCTAATGAAGAAGCAGCACACGGAGGAAACGAAAGCATAACAGATTGATATCAGTTGCAGCATTTGAATAAGAAACATAAAACAAACAAATGCAGCTAAAGGCATTTCCCTGTTTCATATAACAAATGCTGCGGCGTTTCTTTTTGTTTTTCTGTTTTGTTTGCGCCACGCGTTATTCTACTTGCCGGTGTTTTGGTTTTTTGCAAGGACCCGTGTACCTGTTTGTTTCTTTTTACTTCTTCATTTATTTTCATGTTCGTTTGTATTTATTCATCCATCTATTTGTTTCTGTTCTTTATTTGCTTGCTTGTTGTTTTCGTGCTGTTTCTCATTAAAGTGATATTCAACATCGACGCGTTGCTGGGCACAGCGGAGTGAAACCCGCCTTTTGTTACTCCTGGTGTTTATATTTACAAACCAATTTATAATATATTTTACTTATAAACCAGTCTATGATTTAAATATGTAAAATAATTTAGTTTTTGGGTGTGTCGGCATTATATAAATAAACTCCGTGCAAGACGTCGCGGTTGGTGTATTTGCGGTTGTTGTTCAGAAACGTGTATATTTTTTCTGCCACAGTCAAATCTATTTAAGCTGGTATAAAAGGAGAGAAGAGACGTCACAGTGTTATTTATGTTTATTGTTTATATATTCAAACATTTATTAAATTAATATTCTTTCCTTTTTGCGTTGCTTAAAGGAAAATCGACCATCTGCTGGAGCGGCTCAGCCGCGAACAGCTGGCGGCTCAAACGCGAGCCGAGAAAGTCTGGGGAGAAAAAATAAAAGCAATTCAAAACGAAGCGGAAGAAATAAAAAAACAAATGCAGAAAGAAAAAGAAAACAGAGAGAATGAAATGAAGGTCAGAGACCGACCACATCAATACACCATAACTGTTTAAATTAAAAAAATTCATATTAAATTTCAACAAAAAGTTAAATATATTTACCTGGTTTTCTCTGCTTTTTATTTTTCGGCGGATCTCTCCTTTTGGCGCCAATGGAACGCCCGACGCAAGTGTCGCGCAGTGGAAATAATAAACGTGTTACTGCTACTAAATAAATAAATAAATAGATAAATAAATAAAAAATATATAAATCGATAAACAAACAAATATATACGTATATATATTATTTTGTTTGCAGGCGGCAACGGAAAATCGTATGGCTTTGGAGCGCCAACTATCGCGGCTGGAGGCTGAGGCGGAGATAAAAGAAAAAAGTTTAAATGAATTAAAAACAAAATATGAAGAAATGAAACAAAAGGCAGATGTAAGAATAAATATAAAACAAAAAAACAAAAAAAAATGTGTTGTTATAGAAATGCGTACTGTATACAATATTTGTTTGTTTCTGTTTTAAAAAAAACAAATGCATTTGAATGTAACAAATTAAATTAATATAATTAAACTAAATAATATTTTGCTTTTTGGTTTAGGTGCTGCAACGAGAAAAAGAACTGAAGACGGACCTGCTGGAGAAAGAGTCGAAATTAAACAGAGACAAATTCGAGGTGACGATCAAAAGAAAATAAAATAAAATAAAATAAATTATATTTAATTCAATTAAACTAAAGATTAATTATTTAATTAAATTAAATAATTAATTTAGATTAATCATTCAATTAAACTGAAGTTTTTGTTTTCTCTTCGCCTGCGTTTATTTTTTTTGTTTGCTTGCTTCGTTTGTTTGTTTGTTTGTTTTTTTGTTTGTTCATCATTTGTATATTTCAGTGTATTTGTTCGTTCGTTTGTTTGTTTGATGTCAGTCTAATAAACTTTTCTTATTTAAATGTATTTGTTTTTCTTTAAGTTTACTGCCAGCTGCATTTGGTTTATATATTTATACAAATGCATTTATTTATTTATTTATTTATTTATTTGTCCTTCCGATTAATACATGAATAAGAATGTATTTTTTTAATTCATTTTTCTCTGATTGATTTATTATAAATAAATAAATAAACAAATATATATATATATATATATTTATATATATATATATATATATATATATATATATATATATATATATATAT